CCCTTCCCAGTACTAGTGGAAGTACCTGAAACCAAAACTGAAAACAGTAAGCACGAAGCTTAGTGAGTCTCCTCATTATACCACATACCATCTACACATAGCATGCAACTAAGAGATACGGGCCTCGCCCACACTCATGGAGATACGGGCCTCGCACACACTTCGCTAACTGGGAGATAGGGGCCCCACCCACACTCCGCTATCTAGGAGATACGGGCCTCGCCCAAACTCCACTGTCTAGAAGATACGGGCCTCGCCCATGCTCAGCTACTTCGAGATACGAGCCTCGCCCACACTAGGCTCTAATGAGATACGGGACTCGCCCACACTCAACTACTAAACCCAACATACAAGTATCACACAGACAACATGTAAAGCTAATCTACTGTTCATACATCATAATCAACTACTACTATGAGATACGGGCCTCGCCCACACTCTGCTAAGATAGGATACGGGCCTCGCCCACACTCAGCTACTATCATATCATATTACGGGCCGGCCTTGGTGCCGTAGACCCGTTCCTACTGAAGGAGAACTCACCTCGTATAACTGGTTGCTGATATCCCAAGTGAGAAATCCATGTTTGCTGCTCTGGCGACTCCCCGGCTACAATCACATAACATCCTGAATCAACTGATGATTCCTCATGGAGTAAATGAGCAATTTACCCCCTGGTCAAAGTCAAAGTCCTGGTCAGAGTCAAACTTCCAGGTTGACTCTACTCGCGCGAGTCCTACTATGGACTCGCCGAGTTCCCTAACTCACAATTCTCTAACTCGCGACTCGACTCGCCGAGTCGGGGCGTAGACTCGTCGAGTCCCTCTACTTCCAGATCCTTGTTCTAACTCACCGAGTCCTCTTCCACTCACTGATTCAACTCACAACTCTCAAATCGGAGAAATCGGGAGTTTGCGCTCCGACTCGCCGAGTCCGATGAACGACTCGTCGAGTCCTATGCATGTCTTCACTATACAGTTGATTCTAATCGATTCCAGTGCATCCAATTCATAGATCTGAGCTTCTAGGGCCGATATAACACGTAAAGTTGCCAACTTTACGTGCATGCATAAAGGTATGAAGCTAAAACACCAAAATAAGCTAGAAATGGGAACCTAGGGTTGCATAAAGGTAGCTACTTTGAGCTCCTGGAGCTCAATGATGTCCAGATCTATAGTTCACTACCCTAAGGGAGCTCCAATCTCGAGTTTGGACCTTGAAATATCCCAAAAGTGGCAAAACAAGCATACATGAAGATCTACTAGGAAAATGAACAAGGTAGAGGCTTTATTACCAGATGAAGTAGTAAATGGAAGCTAGCTTCTGGATCTCCTTCTTCTCCTTTGCACTTTCTCTCTTTCCTTCTCTTCTACACTTCCAAGAATACACCAAATCACTCAAAATCAAGAAGGAATCACTCAAACTCACCAATGGAGGGCTAGGGTTTTGAGGGGGAACGTTCTAGAGGTGTTGGTGGCTGGGATGGGGGCTATAATGACGTTTAAATAGGGTACAAACCCTAAGAATTAGGGTTTCATCCAGACTGGCCTACTCGTCGAGTCAAGACGCGGACTCGCCGAGTAGATCACTTAAACCCACGTCCAATCCTGGCATCTACTCGACGAGTTAGGGCTACTACTCGTCAAGTAGCTCTTTATAAAAAGACATTTAATGAATTAATACGTACCAGGAACGGGGCGTTACACCATCCCATCTGCCGGCGAGGGCGTTCACCGCTACTGTTTCATTGCCAGCCGACCACCGTCGCTCGTGACCAGTCAACGCCGAGAGCCGTCGGCTGTAGGCGCGAATGTGGCCGCTGTTGACTGCCGCCGTTCTTTTTCTTCTTCCTTTTCATTTTTCCGCCGATGGACACCGCTATTACAGGCCTCCAGCCACCGCCGACGTCGCTCCTTGCTGCTGCCTGCCTTTCCGTGTCGATCGCCACCGCCGCCCAACGGCTGTTCCACCCACTGACGTCGTCATGCACCACCAGGTGGGTGGTTGAACTTATCCTCCGAGCAAAAAGGCGTGCGTGTGTGTGTTATTTATGTGTGAGTGTGTCGTGGGTGACTTTGCTTGGCCGAAAATCGCAAGAACAGCCACCACCACCACCGTGAGGTGGTGGCTGCCACCATGTACCACCGTGTGTGGGTGTATTTTAGTGAGTGTGTGTGTACATTTGGTATTTTCATTGTAACATTGTAACCGGAGCTAGAATAATAAAAAGAAACTCAAAACCACCACCGTGAGATGGTGGCTGCCGCCTCCAGCCGCCACCAGCCGCCGTGTTGGGTGGCGGTGTGCTTAGTTGTGTTTGGATTGCTTTTGGAGTGCTTGGACACAATTGGACTAGAACCACAACCACCACCGTGTGGTGGTGGCCGCCGCCGTGAGCCGCCGTTAACCACCACTACCCGAGGTGGTAGTGGGTGGTGCCCGACTAGAGAAACCCTAATGGGCCTAGTGAAACCCTAATGGGCCTAATGAAACCCTAATGGATCTAAGGACTTAGCTATTGGGCCTATTGGGTTGGAAGTGGGTTGGAAACCCTAATTAGGGTTTAGAAAACCCTAATTGTGGATATATATCGGGACCCACATTTGGGCCATTGGAATGGAATTGTAAATTACACCAAATCACATCATATGACTTGTCTAGTAGAGTGATGGACTTAATAGATTAAGTCCTTAATGGGTTAAGTGAGAAACACTTAACCCTAATTGTCATTTTATGTGAAACCCTAATTTCACTTGGGCTTTGTGTTGGGCCTTTCTATTGGGCTTTGGTGATTGGGCTAATAATGGGCCATCCAAGAACAATCAAATGGACTAGAATATTTAGATGGGCTTTAGGGAAAGGCCCAAACGAAGGTTTGGGTCCAATTTGGAAAATTGGGCCATAGTATGGGCCTTAATGATTATATGATATTGGGCCATTAGAAATGCCAAATGTTGGACTGGACTAAATGGTTGGGCCTTTGATTGGGCCTTAAGTTGAATCATAGTTTAACTTTTGGGCCTTTGGATTGGGCCTTGAGTTGAATCAAGCTAAGATAGGGGTTAAGCAGTCTTTTACCCCAAGCATGGACTTATGATTTTTGTGTTGGAACCCAATTATTAATTGGGTGATGTTTTGATATTGACAGTTCGAGAATCTGTCATCCAGCAGCTAGGGTTGTGTCTGCGGGACTTTAGCAGTGTGAGGTGAGTTACCTTCCAATAGAAGTGGGTCTAAGGCCACAATGCCGGCCCACTAGTAGGAGTTGTTTGTTAGATGATTGTCTTTGTGATAATTATCTGGTATGACATTATCTGTTATGTTTGTGTGCTAGGATGCTCTGTGATACATGTTATTTGTAGTAGGGGTGAAATAGTCCCCGGTTACCGGTTGAAAGATACTGAAAGGGAGGTCAGCTCCCAGATACCGGTTGAAAGATACCGACGGGGTAGGTCGGGCACCGAGATATATCTGACAGTATATTTATGTATGTCATGCTATGTTATTATGTGGTAGTGGTAGGGGTGAAATAGTCCCCGTTATCCGGTTGAAACAGACCGAAGGGGAGGCCAACACCCAGATATGCTAGGCAGTTATCCGGTTGAAAGAGACCGAAGGGGAGGCCAACACCCAGATATGCTAGGCAGTTATCCGGTTGGAAATAGACCGAAGGGGAGGCCGACACCCAGATATGCTTGGCTATGTATGTGGTATGATGGGGGAACTCACTAAGCTTCGTGCTTACGGTTTTCAGTTTTGGTTTCAGGTACTTTGTTTTCAAAGGAAAGGAGCTCGCGATCGCAGCGTATCACACTATGATCTTCCGCACATGAGATCTTTGGGATTACACTCTGATATTATTTTATGATAACATGTTTTGATTACTGACACTTTGGTCTTGACATGTGATGTTATTATGAATGTTTTTATACTGTTGGTTTTATAATAACTTAATTAAAAACGAAATTTTTGGTCTTGAATTTTTGGATGTTACATCATTATTACATAAATTCTATACCACACTAAAATCCATACTCCTTTTCAATGCCTTTTCATTTAGCCTTTCTACCAACCGGAAATGTACCTTCAAGCATCCTGAAAAATATCATTTGTTTGTGCTATTTTCCCCCTTTCATGTGAAACTAATTGATACAGAACATTGTAATCAGTTTTGACTCTTTAGTCAAAAAGAACATCCAAGTACCCTCATTCATCATTCGGTGAGGATCAAAAACTAATCAGGAAGAAAAAAAATATACAAGCTATTATTGAAAACGAATGAGAGATCAATGAACCACAAATCCAACTACTGGGTTTTATAAACCAAATCAAAATGAATTAAAAATCAATACATTTGTCCATTTGCATATTTTTGAATAACTTTGAGTTCGTTGAGCCCTAACAAGTTTTTGAGGTTTCGGAGATCAAACAAGTTATTATTTGTGAATCCGATTGGTGGAGCTTCAGTTTCTTTGGGTGGTGGTGGTGGTTAAAGCTATCAGATGAGAAAGGGCTGGGAAGAAGGGGTGTATGTGGAATGGCGTTAGAGGTGCATATTGGGGTGAGAGCTAGGGGAGACAAGAATGATGTATGTGGATAAAAGGAAGAATATGTTGGAGTTACCGAAGATAGGTAGACGGTGGTGTAGACGAATGTGGTACTAGAGGTAGAAAATTACAAGGTGTAAGGACTGAAGAGTGAACGATGAAGGGATATTTGGCTTAGAGTTTATCATTTTATCATGATTGTAGTTTTATTTTTAGACCATGTAATTTATAAAATTAAACAAAAAAACTTAACATCTGATGCTAACGCGTTATCATGTACCGACCATTGCTTTAATTTCTCCAAACAAAATGGATGATCCCTGTCAACATCTTAAACGTTGGACTAAACTTACAAATTTAAAAAAAAAACCACAGGGACCATTTCTGTAATTTACTCTATTTATGTTGTTTTACCCTGAAACCGACAAAGGGGTCATAATTCCACGGATACATCATACAGTATACAATATGGGTATTAATGTATGTTGCTACATGTGTCACTTGGTGAATGGTGTATGCGTGCACAAATAAATTCTCACTGCCCGTTTTCATTGTGCGTAAGCTGGTCCTCGTATCAATATCATCCTCCTACGTGCTGACATTGGCATTTGGCAATGAGCTCGTATCCACGCCTGCTCGTTCAAGATCCGTCAGATCTGTATGCCAGAATGGCTATTGGCTTAAAGGTTGCATATTCCGATAGTTTTCAGCTATGAAATCTCGCGTATCTGATTTTCTCAACATTTGCTTGAATTTCATTCTGTTTGTTATTTATACTACCTGTTAGAATTTCTATGTAGTTTGAATATAGTTAATTTTGTTCCATATCTAGTTTGAAGCAAGACGATTAACCTGTTTTACATCTATGATCAAAGCGCTGTTCCTTTTAATGGAACCGAGAGAATACAGAGTTTCTATCAAATGAATGTTGTCATATTACGGTATTACCCCCTCCATTCATAAGTAGATGAGTTAGTATTCTGCTTCAACTTAATAGTTGATAAAGTATTGCCCTAAAACTTGTCACTATGCTATAACTCAATGGTGCTAAGTGTTTTGGAGAAACAGAGAGAAATCAAAAGGATAATTGTTGTCGAGTTTCTTTGACTTCTGAGAGAAGAAAAAGGGAAACTGGATGGGTACGTGAAAATGAGCAAAATAAGGGTTTTATACTTCTTTTTAGTGACCAAACTACACTTAACCTAATCTATTTATATGCATCTATTATTGAAAAAAAGTTGGGTGTATTTATATGCATCTATTTATATGCATCTATTATTGATAAACAAATGTGATTGATTATGACAGTATCTCCCTTATTGCCAAAATCGTCTATTGCTTTGCTGCAATTCATTGGTTTATACATAAGTTGGATATGGTAAGTTTTAGAAAAGAGCTTATCTGAGGAGGAGCTATATTAAATGGCAAGTATCTTTTGAGTTTTATTACAAGACATGTAATAGCATTCATCATATATTTATATGCAGGTTATAAACTTGTAAGAGAATTTACATGAACAAGAATGGCATTAGGAAAATACTCTAAAGTTGATGGCAGAAAATCATCAAGCAATTACTGTTCTACAGTGACATTGGTGGCATTTGTGGCCCTGTGCTCAGTAGGGGTATGGATGATGGCTTCTTCATTCATTGTTCCTTTTCAAAATGTAGATACTAGTAATGGAAACAAGAATCATATCTCAATAATAGAGGATGAAAACAAGGTAATCAATGATAAAAGTAATGAAAACAGTGCAACAAGTGAGGACACCACAACCACCAGAAACAGCGATGTTAAACAGTTTGAAGATAATCCTGCTGATCTTCAGGATGAAGCCACAAAAAAGAAAGAAGATGAAGAATCTAAGGCTGATGATATAGATTTGGAAGGTGGGGAGACGAGAAGTGATAGTGAAGGCAGGAAGCCTGGAGAAGAAGAAATAAATTATCAAGAGGGTAAGGGAACTACAAATGGAGATAACTCAGATATAAAAAAGAAATTTGAGGAGAACGATAATAAGGAGGAAAAGACTGGTTCTTTCTCAAACGAGATACTACCTTCCGGGGCTAAGGTAATGTTTGGTATGATGGAATCAAGAAATGAATGGAATGGTTCATTCCATTCCGTAGGAATGTAAACAACCTGTTTGTTTGAACCGATGGAATGGAATGGACCATTCTTGAAAGAATGTGATTCTTTCCGCTTTTGTTAATTTTAATAACTTGGTGAGGAGGTTTATATATATATATATATATATATATATATATTATATATATATATATCTATATATATATATATATATATTTTCATTTCATCACCGAATGGAAAGAAAAAAAATGCAATATAAACCAACTTTTAGTATTTATTGTAACTGTTAATGACATTTAATTAAGATACAACATTATGTGTATAACTATTATTTTTATCACAACTTATTTTAGGTTTGATGAGCCTTTATCTTTGTTTATTTTTGTAGAGAAAATTAAGTTGGTTAGTTAGTTATAATCAAACTATTTATAGAAATAGAAGAGAGTTAAAATTATAGTAGATAAAATAAAAAATTGAGATGAGGATTGATTCGGTTCCTAAAAGGCAAGCAAACATGATGATGATTGATGAAATGTAATATGAGATTTGGAATGGATGATTTTGAACACAGGGAAGAGAAGAAGATAAGTTTGATTGGAAAGTGTGCAATGTGAGTGCTGGGTGTGATTTCATTCCATGTCTTGATAACTTGGAAGCTATTAAGGGTCTTCCAACCACTAAGCATTATGAACATAGGGAAAGGCATTGTCCTCACGACCCTCCAACTTGCCTTGTTCCTTTGCCTCAAGGATACCAACACCCAATACACTGGCCTGCAAGCAGGGAAAAGGTATTTTCTTCCTTCATGCTAAACATTTGGGTCTTGTTTCTGTATCTAGTATAATCTATAATATTTGTAACATTCTAACTCAAATTCTGAAACACCTGTGTTTCAAAGTGGTATGCACCTGAATATCTTTTGAAACATCATAAACACTGTTTTGGATGAGAATTCTAATCTTTTATGTAAGCAAATCAGATAATTTTTTTTTTTTTGGCAGATATGGTACCATAACGTCCCTCACACTACGCTAGCAGAAGTTAAGGGACACCAAAACTGGGTAAAAGTTAGTGGGGAGTATCTTACTTTCCCTGGTGGTGGAACACAATTTAAGCATGGTGCCCTCCATTACATTGATTTTATACAAGAGGTAATGATTCAATTTACTACAAAATCTTGCAACCAAGTATTTCAATTCCTTTAACAAATTCCATTATCAAATTCCATGGTGCAGATTGTGGGAGATATTGGTTGGGGAAATCACTCACGTGTAGTATTAGATGTTGGATGTGGGGTTGCTAGTTTTGGAGGATTTCTGTTTGATAAAGATGTGTTGACAATGTCTTTAGCTCCAAAAGATGAACATGAAGCTCAAGTTCAGTTTGCACTTGAGAGAGGAATACCTGCTCTTTCGGCTGTCATGGGCACACACAGACTTCCTTTTCCTGCAAGAGTCTTTGATGTCGTCCATTGTGCACGCTGCAGAGTGCCATGGCACATTCAAGGTTCTTTGTCTTTAATTTTTTATTTATATATATATATATATATATATATATATATATATATATATATATATATATATTTCCTTAATAAATTAGTATCTCTATCTATCATGTTTAGATGGTAAACTACTCTTGGAGGTGAATCGTCTATTACGACCTGGTGGCTTCTTTATATGGTCAGCTACTCCTATCTACAAGAAAAAGCCCGAAGACTCTGAGATTTGGGAAGGTATGTAAATATTTGTTCAGTGGTTCTGTAATGCATTGGGCTAATAAGAGACTGGGACTCATGTTTTCAATTTTTTATCCAACCAAAAATGGTCTGGATTTTTCGTTTGTGAAATATATACTTGAATACCCTCCTCATCCTCTTCATCGAAAATAGCCTACAAAGGGCATTCACGTAATTTTTGTCCCTTTGACATCAGACCTAGTCCAATGCAGATGGAAGTCTGCTTGCTGAATGCTGATATTGTTAACTGGCAGCAATGAAGAACTTGACTCGATCAATGTGCTGGGAAGTGAAGTCAATAAGTAAGGATAAGGTAAATAGGATTGGTGTTGCTGTGTATCAGAAGCCTGTTTCTAATGAATGCTATGACACAAGATTACAAAATCATCCTCCATTCTGCAAAGAATCTGATGATCCAAATGCTGCCTGGTACTTGTCTTTAATCCCTTATCTTCACTTTACATTCAAGAAATACTCATATGTTTATTATCACTTTCTTCCTGTTTCAATATTATACTTGAAAAACCACCCAATGCCACCACAATTTGGTATAATTATAATGTCCTATCAAAATTACAATGCTATATTCTTTCCAAGCAAAGGTTTAGATGATATGAATATTGTGGTTACTTTCAAATGCCATTTGCAAGAGTATTATAATACTATCTTTTTAGGGTTACATCAACCAACATACTCTCATGTATTTATTTATTATGGCATCCTACATCCATTTTTTCCTATTAAAACATTATACTTTGATGACCCATTATAGCAATGTCATCTAACTGCAAAACATTTTTCTCTGTTATAACTGGGTAATTAGTTAGGTTTTCCCAATGATTGTCGTCTTAACCAAAAAAAAAAAATTTAAAAGTACGATGCTGTAGCCGAGTAGATTTCTGAAACTACAATGTCTTAGTAAGAAAAGAAGTGAAAGTAAAGAAATAAAAAAAACAAATGAAGGAAAGTATGTTGCAAGATCTATCACATGGTGTTTGTGGGTCTTTTCAGCACAAGTAAATAACTATGGGTTACAAGAGTATGATAAGATGCTATCTTCTTTGTAGGGTTACATGCAAGAAATAGCAACGTAGTTTGATTAATAAATATATAGCATGGTTTTTAAATTTTTGAAATGAAATTGAATTGTTGTTAAATTTCAGGAAAGTAGGTCTGCAAGCATGTATGCACAAGATACCAACGGCGGCATCAGTGCGTGGGTCTGAGTGGCCTGAAGAATGGCCATCAAGAATGGAAAAACCACCTTTCTGGTTGTTGAGTTCAGAGGTTGGTGTTTACGGGAAACCAGCACCCCAGGACTTCACTGTGGACTATCAACACTGGAAACGTGTGGTTACCAAGTCTTACATCACCGGCTTAGGAATAAACTGGTCAAGTGTCAGGAATGTCATGGACATGCGAGCTGTTTATGGAGGGTAAGCAAAACCTACATTTTTTTTTTTTTAATTTCTATTTAAAATCTTTAGTCAGGTTTTTTTTTTTTTTTTTTTTTTTTTTAAATTGCAGATTTGCAGCTGCTTTGCAGGATATAGGTAGTGTTTGGGTGATGAATGTGGTACTGGTTGATTCTCCTGATACACTCCCAATAATATACGAGCGTGGTTTATTTGGAATGTATCATGATTGGTGCGAGTCATTTAGCAGCTACCCACGCACATATGATCTTCTACATGCAGACCATCTTTTTTCCAAGATAAAAACAAAGTGAGCATCTACATCTCAAATTAATCCGACTATTATATATGACCCGTTAAATTTTGTCCATAGTCATATTGCTTACTCGTTCGTGGTCAATCTCACACAAAAACTTGTTGAAGCCAAAAACCCCAATATTTTTCGAATTTTATAATATATAATATCAAAAAATAAAATTTTATTCAAAAAATGTCTTAAATAGTTAATTAAGAAACTTATATATGAAAAAAAAAACAAGATTGTATTAAGATATATACTGTTTTCATTTTCGATTTTTAAAACATAATAACAGGACCACTTTTTAAAAACAAAAACTCAAACCGTCAGTTTTTCAAAACGAATTGGTTTTTGGCGTCATATATATAAAACCCATATCATGGTGTTATGGATATGAACATTGATCTGAGATGCTTCCATGAACTCCATTTGACCTCATCAGATACTTTATATTTGGTGTTATAGGTGTAACATGACGGCTTTATTTGCGGAGATAGATAGGTTATTGAGACCGGAAGGTATAATTATAATCCGTGACGACATTGAGATCATGAATGAAGTGGAAGTGGAGAAAGCTTTGAGGTCTATGCATTGGGAAGTCCAGTTAACATTTTCTAAGGATGCACAAGGATTGTTGTGTATGAAAAAGACAATGTGGCGTCCAAAAGACCTCCAAACACTTGCATACGCAATTGCTTAACCAATTGGGTCGGATCGCGGGTTACTGGAAACTACAATTTACTTCCACTTAGTTCCGTCGGATACGAGTTACCCGACCCTAAACTGGTCTAAGCCCAACTCGGTTTGTGACAAATATGAAGTGATCAAGTTTTTTTTTTTTTTTTTTTTAGCAAATTAACTACTCTCTTAAATGCTACAATTTTTACCTTAAGAAAGAGAGCAGGTAATTTGTTGTTGTTCAAAGCTTTTTGAGGAATTCTATATTGGAAAATCATTATTTACCTCATGATGCATATTTTATTGTGCTTTGTACTCTGATGTAATTAGTGTATCTACGTTAATTTTATAGAGCTTTCTCATGTAATATCATTATAATATAGGGTTAATATCATAAATTTTACACTAATCATTAGTTGGATCTTTTTAATTTTGAACGGTAAATATAATTTACTTTTAATCTGTTTCTTAATTTCACATATGTCTACGACGGGACATGAACCCTCGACCTCAAAAAAGGAGGGCAATACCTGCTACCGGTGGGCAAAAAACCTTTTAGTTAGTTGGATCTTTAAGTCACTAATATTTTACTTGTATTCAATAATGGAGTAGTGGATTAACTGGATTTAAACTAGGTAAACTGGTATCTAATCTCATTTGGTATCCAATATGACAAATTCTGTACATATTGTGTCCATGTGGTTTTTTTAAAAATCTAAAGGCTTAATAGAAATACCAAAAATATGCAAAAATCCATGTTGAAGTCCACTTCAATAGTTCAATAGAACCACCAGTAATAGTTAGTTCCTCTAAGCCTCTATTGAATAGAATTAAAAGAGCTAATGTCTTAACGAGCAAATTGATAGTTATGGAAAGTCATTTTATGGCATTAACCCTTACGTTGCATTTGTGTTGTTCATACGGGCATGGAAATTATTCATGTAGAAGAATTTCCTTGTTTGAATTCACTGTTTTGTTTCCGTTTTCAAACACTTTTAATCTTATTTATTTGGTAGTGATGTTACGTAAAATAACACCTTGAAATTGTTAGCTTATCACAAAAGAGAAAAAAAAATGATATTTGTATTTAAAAAAATAAGGGTGTTTTTAGTTACAGAAAAACATGCAGTTTTCTAGAATTTTTTTAAGAAAAATGAGAATTTTAAAAATGCAACAATTTTTCTAAATTTTTCACAGAAAATGAAAATTTTCCGTTTTTCAAAATTACAAAGAACTTAGAAAATTTTGGAAAACCGATAATAATTGTTTTCCACATTTTTCTAGTTCCAAAAAATATCATAAATATAAACACACACCCACCCCAACGCCACCAACCTCTACATAACCCCAACCCACCCCCACCCACCCATTCATTAGCCCGACCCACCCCCACCCCCACAATACATATACACACACACCACCGCCACCACCATCACTATCCCCCACAAACACATACACACACACACCCCACCAGTACCCCCCACAAACACACACACACACACACACTCCACCCCACAAACACACACACACACACTCACTCACCCCCCCCCCCCACACACACACACACACCCAAATCCACCCCCACAAATACACACACACACACACAACCATCCCTACCCCCATAAACACATGTACACACCGCCACTATCCCCACAAACACACATACACACACACACACACTCACTCACCCCACCATCACCACCACCACTACCGTAAATTCTGACCTACCATCACATCCACCACTACCCCGTCACCACCATCACCACCACCACCTTCACACCGCCGCCACCACCACAACTGTCGCCATCATCGCCACCATCGCCGCTGCCAACACCACCACCACCATCGTCATCATCCACACCACCAATACCCCCACCAAGTTACGAAAAAACATGCAGTTTTCTAGAATTTTGTAAGTCCCTAAAACGCTTTGATGAATCAAATGAATGAATCAAGATGAAATATAGAATAAGAACACAAAATGTTAATCTTCAATACACACTATTATTGAATAGTCGGATACATAAGATTCTTGATTACAATTCGTTTTCTCTCTAGATCTCTCCAAAACGTGTTCTCTGCATATGGCAGCCCCCAAGAACATCCAACAACCACCTTTACAAGGGTAAAATAAAGCTATTTATACTTAGACCTAATAACAAAGCCCAAGCCCAAAACCCAAACAAGCCAATATAAAGCCTAACCAAAATCACATGTGATTTTGGTCCAAACAACACCAAAACATGGTGTTTTTGGTCCTAGACCGAGAACTCTAATATCTTATGAAAAACAAAGTATAAACCACAATTTATGACCTAACAATCTCCCCCTTGGTTTATAGCTTTCTTTTCACTTACAATAAACCACAATTTAGTCCTAACAATCTCCCTCTTGGTTTATTGCTTTCTTTTCTTTTCAGTCTTCCTTGATCTTTGACTTTCAGCTTTAATCTTCGATTTCTTCACAACTTCAAGATGAACATATGAATTTCTGCATGAATGACTTCATCTTGAGTAGTTGGACTTCCTTCAAAGAATTGACCTTGAATGCACATTGGGTGTAGAGGCTTCTTGTAAAGATTCTTGAAAATCAGCACTTTCAACTTTGAAACACTTTAGAGAAAATAACAGAGAGACCAATTCTTCTGGATCACTTCGGCAGGTTCATAGATAGCAGCAAATTGATTGAGGAGGCTTCAATGCAATCTGTCACATAACTTCAAGTACAGGTTCACCTTGATTCTGGGGTTAAAAAAATTGAATGTTGAAAAATAATATTCACTTCTTGTTCCTTCGAATGAGTATTCTTTAACAATCACCGTTGTGCCTTGAAAAGTAATCATGACTAAAAAGTCCATGTGGATCACAAAATCATAAAGACCCTTCTCACCACAGTTGTTTAAGGATCCAGCCTTGGCTCAGAAGGAGACTACTCGCAGTATTTGTGTGAACACGGAGGAACGCTCTGCGATTTGTTGAGTATCGGAGAACTACTTATGGCTATTTTCATGTTAGCCCCTGCATATCCTTGATCATAGACCTCAATGCAATTTTTCAAGTTAAACAAGTTAACTTGGCCCTTGGCGAGACGTTTAGCGATAATCGTGCCTTGCGAGGTGCATCGCCATGGTGCCATGACATCTGTACAGTTTCAGACTTTTAATTCCTTAAATACGATAGTCCTTTGAAAGATACTGCCTAATTGACAATTTGTACAGTTTCAATCCTTCAATTCCTTGTGAAAATGGAGTGAAGAGTTATGACCATCAACTCCTTTCCAAGTTTCTTCTCCTTGCTCAGAAAATTATGATACAGTCTCCATAAGTCTCTTCTTCTTTTTGAATTCGCTTTTTAAGACAAACGAAACTTTGAGATAAAAGATAAAAGATAAAAGTAAAAATAAACTTAGCACACAATAGAAATAACTAAGAAATAAAAATAAAATTAAAAATACACTCAAAATAAAAATTAAATATTTTTTTTGAATTTTTTTATTTTTCTGAAAAAGAAATAAAACATAAATAAATATATTTTTGAATTTTTTAAATTTTATGATTTTTGTTTGATTTTTTTAAAAAAGAAATAAAACATAAATAAACATATTTTTGAATTTTTTAAAATTTATGATTTTTCTTTGATTTTTTTTAATATTCCCCCTTAATTTGTGCATAGAGGAAAGATATGAACAAATTTAACAAAAATAAAAATAATAACTAAATTTAAAACACTTTTAGGATCAAAGTTGTCAAGCAATTCAATATCGTTTATCATCACACACCTGTATGTTTAGCTTTAGTCAATCACCAATATTGTGATCCACTTAAACACAAAGGATATTGACAAGTTGGACAATTTATAAGTGACAAGACATTGCACCTATATTCCTAAATTGACCATTTAGCTGACGACGACCAATGATATTGTTGCCCATTTAAATTCAACAGCAAGATCTACAGATAACCTTTAATTAATTCAATTTTAAGCTCACTAGAACGTGTTCCCCATTTCACGACACACCCTAGCAATCAAGGAATTCCAAAGAGCTCTTTACTTTAGGTGAGTATTCAATCATTAAGAAAGAAGTCAAATTTAGAAATGCATATGTTATGCCCTAGGTCGGATCTCTTCCAATCACGCAGAGGGGACAACATGTGATTAACACAGATAGAGGTGTTGAGAGGTAGAATGTTGGATATGCTGTGTTCCAGGTCGGATCTATTCCAATCACGCAGAGGAGACAACATATGACTGGCAGAGAGGATAAGAAAGAAAAACAATTTCACACCGACCTACTTTATCAGAACCCCTCAGTCACCCTATCAGCACCAGAATTAAGGACATAAGTCCGTACATCAAAGAAATGTTGAGCCATAGTTCTAGATAATAAGTAACTTTAATGTATCTTGTAGGTTCCCATGTTTATCTCACTGCTAATCTATCCAAGCGTCGTATGGTCAGTCCAAATGTAACTATCTAAGTCCAGATGAGTTAACATTGTCAAGTCCTTTCATTGTCAATCTATGTCTAGTCCTTTTGAATCCTTCGTGCCTACCAGCACATTGAACACAGAGTCTAAACAATTTAGCTTTAGTGCATTATACGAATTTCAGATTGCCCTTTAACACTAAGCTTCATATCACTTCCCAAAAATACTAACGAAAAAAACATATTTTTGTATTTTTGATTTTATAATTTTTTTGTATTTTGATTTCTCCCCCTTAATTTGTGCATGGGGAAGAAAGAAAATAAAATAAATGCGCAAATAAAAAAATTGTCTTAAAAAACGAATCATTTTATGAAAAACTTAGAAGTATCGAGAAGAAAACTCAAACCGTAATTCAGCAATTGAAATTGCATCCAGATGATCTGAGAACAGCATGCATATGCAACAACATGTTCAGCCTCAGCTGTGTTTCAACTCCGGAGTGAAGTTAAGATATTCAATATTCAAGACACCATTAAATGAGATCCCCATTTGTGATCCTTTCCTACTTCCTTCCCTCAAAGGATACATACTCTCATTTAAAGTTATGAATGTAATGTAGTTGAGAGATGTCTCCTATCATGTGCCTGGAACAGCCACTATCAACAAACCGAAGTATGATGATATTCCTCCATAGTTTCTCCGACACAGAGTGAGGGATTAGTTAGCTTTTGGAACC